TGGCTGCCTTGAGGCTTGATTGCTTCTCATTGTGCTGAACTGTTACCATTCAATTATCTCGTTGAACATAATTGGTCTCCATTATAATATCATTGCAGAAGTAACTGTATCAATTGCTTTATATAGCCCCAAAACTTGTTAAACTTTGAGTCCAAAGTCTCTCAAGGAGACGTAAATTGATGAGTGATTTTTACATGTATTATTTTAAGAAGAGTTCAAAGTTGTATATTATCACTGCACCAAGGTGCGCTTTTTTGTACATCCTGAGAAAATTACCCCTTTAAGAAAAAAGTGTAGTAAAATAGCTAAATTAAGCTATACTGAATTGCTTAATAAAGCTATATAGCTATTTAAAGCTATATAGCTAAATCAAGAGATTGTACTGGACCTGGTAGGAACGTTTTGTTGTATTTACCTGAAAATCATGGGGTACATCTTGATCTTGTCGTGCAGGTTGTACCTAGAAATAAAATCGCCTGAACGGTTGTTGCAAGGTACCAAACAGCAGGGTTCTCCATCATTTGAAATGTTACTGTGTTGCAGAGTTTACGCGAAGCACTAAAATTTGGCGGTATTTTCGCGATCAAATTCGCGACTGAATCATTATTCATTAAAATTACAAAAGAATACATGCACACATTTATTTAGAAATCGCTAATTCGTTACACAAATAGTATGGTCGTACATATTGATAAAAGTAAAACCACGTTTTAGAAAAGCAGAGGAAATTCTGACCGAAACAGTCGAACTGCATGTACTTAACATTTTTGAAAGTAAATTTGTCAGGATTATTTATCAGTTTTCTTGATCGAGTTATCGCATTACAAAAAATGAAACTTCAGAACAGTGAAATATTTTTAAAAGTTCTTTGAATATGTTGAAAAATTGTACGCAATTTATTTACATATTTAATTGACTTCGTTACGATGTTATGTTTGACTTACCATGCTTACTGTGCTATCATAATTCTAGAGCCGTGGCTCTTTAGAAAAGACATTTATATGTTTATTTTTAAAAAAATACAATGAATTTTATTGCCACTACCAATTAACCGTTACATGGAAGTGTGAAAACAAATTATTTATCTTTGTTCCTTCATGCGTGAAGTCCAGCGAGGGTCTACGAGATAATTGATTATGCAAGGCGAAGCCCTAGTAATTAAGTGCTCTAATTTTTACGGTAGAATTGTTTGATTAAATTTTAAGTTAGAGAGAATATGTGTGTATAGATTTTCTAATTATCACAGATCTTACTGTGTCGGCAAAATTTTTACTGTGTCGCATGCATAAAATTTGAATCGTTACTGTGTCGGAGAAAAATTTACCGTGTCGGGAGCAACACAGTAAAACAGCTCATGGAGAACCCTGAAACATCATAGATCGACACACTTCTTGGATACAAAAACAATCGAATAAAGTGTTTTTTTCTTTGAAAATAAAAGAGACTGTCTCTCTGTCAGCATGGTGGCGGAAAACGGCCAGGGAATTGTCGTAAATTCCTAATGTCGGAAGAAGACTTGAAAAGCCAATGTTGAATGATTTTATCAGAATTCTATTGAAAATTACTTTATTTGTCTATCAAATCGTTGCTTGTGGTCCATTAAATTACTTTTATAACAAAATGAGACGTAATAATGAGTATCACGACATCAGCAGTGATCAGCCTATTTTCAGCAGTTCGAGTTGCGCGGTAGATTTGATTTCGTCATGTTCGAATCACCTTAATATCCATTTGTATTTATTCAAACCAATGGGACTTTGGCATAGCGCGGCATTGCATTTTTGCGCAGTATTAATATGACGTCATAAAGGTCAATGATTGTTTTCCGCTCTATCGGACTTAAGAGTTTCAAACAATCGGGGTTTGGCGCAGACCACTGGACTCAGGCGTGACCATCGACCTTTGGAATACCATCGCACTTTGGTGTCCTACAGTTATAAAACTTATTTACATAATACTTGATAAGTCAATGAAAATGAAGACTTGCAGACTATTAACATGTTTAAATAACTAAAGAATTAATGAAATTTTTAACCAGAACAAAGTTGGACCTCTGAATATATTAGAGGTGGGTTCAGGTACAATTGTGGAGTAAGCATCTCCTGTCGACCAGTCTCGCCTACAATGTTTCTTATAGAACTCTTTTTGGTAGTGGTACGAGGGTTGTCCAAAAAGTTCGTGGACAATGACGTTTTTGTTAAAATAAATGGTTTTATATCCATCTATTCTATATCAAAATATTTCTCATGGAAAATTAAGTCAGAATGATTTAATTTTTATTGATGGAACTTAAAATTTTTGTAAAAATCGGGATCTTTAAAGATCGCAGTTTGTGTGCACGGACCAGTCTGACGTTACGCTCATTTCTTTATAACGTCAAACATTTGGATTTTGACTTCACACAGGTTATGGGCACACACTACATTTCTTTCTTAAGGTGCTACGCACTTCAAAGTGCTAGCAATAATTTTAAAGTATAGATAATAATTTATTAAATTTTTAAAATTCAAAATAATGCACTAAAATTTACGAGCGTCATCTAAATAAACAGTTTTTATACTCAAACTGCACAGTCCAGTCCGACGCTGCGCTAGATTCATAACAACGTCATGAATAGAAATCTCCAATTAGAATCAAAATTACATGTGTTTTTGAATTCTTATAGTGTCTTCGAATTTGTACTCACCGTTGAAAAATCGTATATACCAATCCCAAATCGATACACTAAATAAATTTCAATAAGTTTGAGTTGTTTTAACAAATATTTTGTTTCTTACGTCGTTTCAACCGTTATAATACTTAATTTTTTGATCGGACGCTGCCCCGTGCGGACGCCCGACGTCGCTTTTTCTGTTGAGTTTAGACACGTACTTGTAAGGGTTTTCTTTTATTATTTTTGTTGACTATATAGAAAGCGATGCTTAAGATAACAAAAACTGATTATAGCCCCTTTAGTTGTGTTACATAAAATTTTTATTAATTTTTGACTTGTTTTATAAGGAAAATGATCATTTTATTCTGAACACAGAGTTTATATCATTTTGACCTTGGTCCGTGCGCACTATCTGCGACCTTTTATGACCCCGATTTTCACAAAAATATTACGTTCCATCAATAAAAATTTAATCATTCTGACTTGTTTTTTCATAAGAAATATTTTGATATACAACAGATTTATATAGAACAATTTATTTTCACAAAAACGTCTTTGTCCACGAACTTTTTGGACAACCCTCGTAGATTTGACATTACATAATAGGAAAACAAAAGAAAAACCCTATGCAAAGTATTATCCTGTATCGAGTACAATTACGTATAGAGTGTTGAAGGTTGACCTCAACAAATAAAAAAATCTTTTCTTGTCAAAATATTAAATCATTTATCTGCATTCGTGAACAGAGATCAGTGTTTCTCTTTTTTACTTTACAGATTGTGGACCCCTTCCTAGCTTCAAAAATGCAAAAGAAATAAAATCAAAGGGACAGTTTCTAACAATTGGAGTTGGTTCCCTTAGGATATTCCAATGCTACCCCTGGACTCATGAGAAAAAATATAGACAAAAAGTTATATGTCAGTCAGACGGAAATTGGACACATTATCAAAACATCCCTTGTAGTATGTACAAATATTATAAATTAAAAGGTATATTCAACAGCTTACTTGGAAACACATTAAAATCATAGTTTCTTTTTTCCATGTTTTGAAAAAAAATCCTTAGAGCGGACATATATAAATAATAAATACTGTACGTAGTTCATCATTATTCAACCCTACAGATATCTGAATATTTTTGTCCTTTCAATTTGCAAGTTTATAATTTATAGTCTTCATATACATGCATAATGTGATAGAGCAACAATCATGTTTTAGATTTGGTCACCTGTGCTACAGAAGGGACCTCGGTAGAGACTTTGGACATTGATTATAAGGAAATTGACGTACCATATGTTTACTCTGAGGGACACAAATGGGCGGTGAGTTAGTTTGACTCCTAAGATTTACAAAAAAATGATTTATATTATAAAAGGCCTTCGAGCTTTTAAAATTTCTGATATTATAAGTATATATTTATTGACAACTTGATGAGGTTTTTCCTCTTCTTGTGTGAACTCTCAAACCTCTTTTCCTATTTATTGATTAAAAAAGCAAAATTCTTTCTCAAAAAGTTATTGAATGTTTTCATTTTATGTACATTTTTCGCTTAATAAAATATCCATCACACTGTTGCACCTGGGACTAAGGATTGACAAAACTGATTTTGAATATATAGAAATTAATTTGAAAAAAATCATTGTCTCATTTAAAATGATTCTCAAATTGCATGTTTTAATTAAAATCTTTGTGGGACGGCATTGACATACAAAAGCCTTCTGCAATAAGAATTGATTCATGTTTTAAAACTAAATATTTATAGATAAGATGAGGTTACATGTAACACGGCATAAATATATTTCATGTAGGATATCATAAGGCAAATTCTTGTCAAAATATTTTTCTGATTGCTGAATAGCTTTTAATTTCAAATCTTCATAGCAAAATTCTGTTAAATATAATTATGGTAAATGAAAATGAGTCTTAACATTCAAAATCACAATTCATGAACTTGTCCGGATATTACGAATTACGGATATAGCAAAGTAATTTTAAAAGTCCCGGTGACTTCGTTATAACCGAGTTTACTGTATATCTGCACTTTTACTTTTTTTAGGTTATACAAAGAAGGTGCTTTGATAACACAAACTTTTATAGAAATTCGTCCGACTACAAAGCTGGTTTCGGTAACTTTAAAGAAAAATCCGATTTTTGGATTGGTATGCCTGAATTGTGAAATAATATGAAGAGATTTTTAATTTGATTTTTAGCTTTAACAATCTTTATCAAAGAAGTCCCATTTTCACATTGATGCGAAGATTTATATAAAATAACTTACGGAATAATTTTTAATTAATTAATATCTCAGTTGAATGACTTCTTTAATTGATAGTATATGGAAAAATAATATGTACAATTCTACAACAGGAAATGACGTTATACACATGCTGACGAAAAATGGTTACAATTATATGAGAGTAGAGATGCTGAAAACAGACAACAAGCCATTAGAGGCAGAATACAGTCATTTCTTTGTCGGTGATGAAAGCACAGAATATAGATTGACAATCAGTGGATTCACGGGGTTTTATGGTGAGCATATTTACATTGTACTACTCGTATATAAATATGCACAATCAACTAATTTATGGATATTTAATAATAACCACGAAATGGTGAGATTGCGTAACATTAATCATTTATGATTAATCATTTACAAATTGATAAAAAAAATTGGACTAAAGGTTAAATTGAAAGTCACATAAGTCGCCCATTGGGAGAAAACATCCCTGTCAACCGGTCACACCCGCCAAAATCTCTATGTTTTGATCAATTTGGTGAAACGTCTCGACGGCAAATTCGGTGTGGATTAAAATTACTTAGTATAAACGAGAAAATTATACCTTTTTTTTTTTTTTTTTACAATTGACTATTTCTTTGGTGAACATGGTTTATAATTTACCTGAAAAATATGCCCCATTCTCGATACTATTTAGTTATAAAATACACATTCTGTTTACTGTATATTTTTGTACCATGCGTATATCATTGCATAATATTTCATTGTGTTTCTTATTGTCAACTTTAAAATGTTTTGACATATTCTGATTGTTTTGCCATTTACTTAATATTAATGAATGATCATTTATTTCCAACCTTGTGTTTTCATTTGTGTAAATTTGCAGTATTAGGTATCTATGAATATCAATATTGAATTAGGCGAAGCTGATCATGAGGTCGATATTGAACTTTTTTCTGGAAAATAACAAAACACATTCAACAAAGAAATAGTCTTTAATTGTTTTTAATATATAGTCAGAATTTGAATAATTCAGACAGACTGAATGACGATACATTTTTTTCTATGATCGAAAAAGCAAGTTATAACTGCCTTGTTACCTCTCCGTTGCATTTAAAACATTTTGAAATATTTCCATTTGCGATACACTTGCTTCACATTTTTTCTGTTCATATACACAGTTTCGGTCAATTAATCGCTTGAAAAGCGGGAGGGTATATAGTAATCGGTATGTCCGTTTGTCTGTCTGAACGTCCGTTTGTCGGTCCGCCCGTCTGTCTGTTACGCTTTGGGGTACCCATCTTTTATCCAAGACTCCTCTCACACCAATGAATGAAATTGGATGAAGCTTTCGTAGAATCTTTATTACATTGTACGTATTGCCATTGTGCAATATCTTATATTTTGATCCGATACATATTTTTGGTTTCCCATAGCAAAACATGGACACGGCCATTATATTCATATGGGAGCTGAGGGTATCATTTAGTGAGCTCATTGCTCACAGTACCTCTAGTTTTCAATGTTTTTTTTTTCATGAACTGATTGTGACGTCCAAATAATACTGCTGCCAGCACGCTGGACATCCGTTGAATACTGTGGAATCACCATTGTTCGTTGACTTTCGTGGGTAAACCTGAACCACGAATTAACATCCCCCAAAAAGTACACATAAACATTTGTTTTATTATTTATCAAAGGATAAATTACGAAACTTGTTATCAACGAAATTACGTCCCCACGAACCGGAAATGTTTTGGCTAACAAGTAACATTGACCCCCACGAATAAAAATGATTCCACAGTATGGCGTCGAATTCAGTGAATATGAAGTGTTATGGATTGTTTGCTTTTTCAAAATATAAAGGGGTTAGTTTAAAATTTAATAATAAATTTGCATACAATTTCCTTAAAACAAGATCATAAAATAAACTTTATCATAATATTAGATGACGTTTTTGAATTTTCTTTGACTTCAATCAATTTGTCATTAGCATTCCTAAGTTAAAAATATATCATATTCGGATCATGCTGTTGATTATCATAGGTGACGGAACCGGGGGTGGGCTTTCACTTTTTTGCAAATATATACATACACTGTAATATATGCATTGAAAATTGGGGTTAACCTTTTTTGGTGGCGTCTTTGTATGAGTGAAACATTATTGAATGAGACGTATGAAAATGTACAATCAATCAACAAGTTCAAGAAAGATTATCATAAGATATTCCTTACTATGCGTTGATGTTGTGTTCAAATTTAGCCCATTCATAAAAATCGTGTGAGCTTGACATAAGGATAGAAACGATGCCTTTTATACAACTTATTGAGGGCATAGTTCATAAACCTTTAAGATAAAAATACTGCAGATTGGCAAATTATTACGATGGATTGAATTTCGCTATGTTCGCGATTTATTATTTTTCCGCGAAATCAAACCCATCGTGAATGCTATAATTAGTTTTTATAACAATTATTTTTTTTACGAAATTTTGAATCAATTTCTTGCAACGTGAAATTAAAACCATCACAATCAGTACTTTTTTAGGTATCATGAAATTTTAACACCATGCAAATTAAACGACTTACAGTAGTACTGATTACTATACACTCTATATTGATTTATAACTTCCTGAGAATGGTCACTTTAATATAAAAATTGAGTAAAAAAATATTCAAAGAAAATGAAATAGTCATGCAATACCAGTTCTGACAATTTTTTTCTCTTTTTTTTAAAACATGAGATCGGATGTTTAAGTATACAGATTAAAAATTGATATTTTAGATTGTATGACAAACAAGAATCATGGAAAAACAGACGCTAATGGTGTTAAATTCAGCACATTTGATATAGACAACGATCAATGGAATAATGGAATCTGTGCTAATAATTGTCAGTCGGGCTGGTGGTTCCATTCTTGTACTTGTGGGAATCTTAATGGATTGTTTGGAATCAAGAAAACAGTTTCTGTGATGCGTTGGATGTGTGCAGATGGGTGGTTATGTCCCCTCAAAGCCACCAGAATTCTGATCAGACCACAGTAATAAAAATACACGACTGTTAATTACAAAAAATTGTAAAAGTGACCATAAATGTGCTAAATTATGCAAATTGATGACATTAAAAATCATGCAGGTTTAACAAGATCATAGTTAGATAAAATCGAGGTGATTTTCGTCTTTGATTAAAGACCCTTGTTATATGTAGTTTAGGCTGTAATTTTACGTTTAATTGGAAAGACAATATAATTATGTAGATATAGTGAAATTCATGAAGCACTTATGATGCAGAAGTATTTTTTAAAAAGAATTATGCATGTTATTTCTTAGTAGATGACTACTGTGGTGTCATCATTGTTGTTAGAGAATCTGTCTTCGTGGATTTTGTGGGTCACCCTTACCCACGTATTTACATCCCCACAAACTTTTATTTATTCATTTAAGTAAACATATAAATGCATTAAAGATATCGTAGAAACTTGTCTTGCAAACCAATAATTTTGCTTGTCAACATTGATCCCCACGAATGAAAATTTGCCTATAGCTCCATCATGAGAACACCTTTTCTGGAAAAAAAATGTAACTGCTTGGAAATAGGAAAATGATTGTTTCACAATTATTGTTAGTAGACCTTTCATAGTTATAAATAATCATCTTTTACTTTGATAAATATTGATATATATCATTCTTTTGTGTCTTTTTGCACGGTTTCTTTTATTATATATTCTTATTCAGCAAAATGATTTTACACAACATCAAAATCAAGCTAATATAAATAAGTTTGTTCCAAAATAAAAAAAAAATTCCCAAAACAGAACAAAAAAAAAAAAAATAAGTTGAAACTGTAATGGAAGATAGAATCTTATTCTTATTCTCAGACTTAGTTTTTTTCCTGGTTAATTTTTTATATGATAGCTTGGGTATTTTTTTTTCAGTAAAAAATGTTCTATATGCACTCTTTGTTTGTACAAAGGATTAAAAATATTGAAAACAATTCCTTACCTGAATGATTTGCTGTTTTACTGGATATATTAAAGAGGTTTGCTCCTGAGCATTTGAGCAGATTTTTATCTTAACCTATATTTCAAAAATGTTGCATACATTTTTAATTCTTACAATACATTTGGATTTTACAATTATGACAATTCAACTATATTTATCAGTTAAATATCCGTGATTAAATTGCATGCTAAAAGCATTACGTGAGGAACTATATTTTGTTGCGGAAGGTCATTTAGAAGAAAATAGTAATTTTTTCCTTCTAAATATTTAAAGTATATCAATTTTGGATTCCTTTTTTTACATACAGTCTGCCCATTTTTTGTGCAATGGACTGTTTTATACTTGTCCTAAATCATCTATTAGATAACTTGCCATGAATTATATCATCATATTTCATAAACAAAGCAAATATGTTGTAAAAATGAAGTCAAATAGCCCCAATTAAAGCTTAACATTAGCACTACTTTTGTAATATCAAAAAATTAACGTTACAGAACCCCATTTTTAATATTCCATTCTGAATATATACGATATTTTAACCCTTCTTTTTTAATTCAGTAACATGTCATTACTTTCAAATGATTTTTTGCTTGTTAAATTTTCAATGCCAGAAAAATGAATATGTGTTAGAGCAAAAAGGTCAAATAATTGCACACGTGAGTTTTGGCTAGGTATAGGCGTTTCTATTCAAATGAGCTTATGAAAATGCATAATTTGCGTAAATTTTACACAGCGAAGGTCCACGCTTATTTTCTTATACATACTTAGTAACCACAGGATGATAAAGCAACTGAACATTAAGACGTCATGTTATGACGTAATTGATCTTTTCCATTCAAGGTAATAAACACATCAACAAAATAAGGTCGACGCAAGGCATATCCTATTTAATTTTTAATGAACAATGTATAAAATTAAGAGAAATGTTACAAAAATTAATAAAACTGCTGCACAAATTCCTATGCACTTTCTCAATTGATAAAAAATTTAGGCAACTTACACCGGACACTGAATTTTTCAACTGAACCCTGTTTCAACTCAAAACTTTTGAAATAGTAACTAAATAATTGTACCGTCGACATTTGTGCAGCAATATAATAACTCCTTGTGATATTCTGTATCTATTTATACCTTGTTTCTAAAGAAGAAAGTTTGGTATGCCCTTACGCCGGAGCTATTTTGTTGATGTTCCTTCTAAACATGTGTAGTATAGGACTATTACGTCATAATGTGCAATGGCTAGCGCATTTAGTAGTTACCGAGTTTGTATAAGAAATTCAATCTCAACTTTTTCAATGCAATAAGAACAGCTCGTATGCATTAAAATCAGTTTGTTGCATACGCAGCTTGTTAAGGCTTGAAAAAGGGGGCGGGGCCTAATTTATACGGGAAAAGTTTACTGTGACGTCACACAAAAATATGACTTTTATGTATTTCTCATAATACCTGAAAATGAAATAGTTTGCAACTTTTAACTGCATTAGCATAATAAACAACATAAAACTTATCAATGCATTAAAAAAAAATTGTTAGTTAAATCCCATGTAGCTGGTTATAAACAAAGCACTGATTGCTATGAACTTGTAAACATGACGTCATTTTGGAAAAAATGACGTATTTTATGTTCCGTGAGAGGCAGATTGAGAGTTTTTTAACGATGAAAAATGCGTGTTATTATTAAACGGAATATTATTTACAGGTTTTTGAAAAGTTGATTAATACCAATGCATATCCTTTGTTTAGTACTATTATTCATTAACTATCAAGAGAATGTATTTTATTAAGTATGTCGTGTTTTGTGTACAAGTTACGTATATTTTACATCGAGATACCTCATTAAATCAAACTTTAGCAAGGGCATACACTGAATAGATCTTAACCATTTTTTTGAATAAAGATAAAGGATATTTTTCTTAAAAAGTGCTGCTGCTTTCTTGAAATCGAGGGCGTGATTTTATAAGTACTCAAAATATTTAGTAAAAGTCAAACATATTTCGACATTGGCTTATTTACCTGAAATATTAACTATTAAAACGCAAATTCAATTCAAAGAAGCAGCACTTTTCAGAAACTAAAAAGTAGGCAGAAACAATAAATAACTTTAACTTTTAATTTTAACTAGGGAATGCCCTTGCGATATTGAAATTTGTTAATGACCTACATTCTGTACACGAACTATGCATTCATCACGTGACTGTCCACAGATGGGACCAAACTTCATACAGTACAGAGTGGGTTATATTATGCTATTTCCATAAGTGTTTAAGTTCTGTGATAATAAAACAGCTTAACTAAAATAATTAAGTTTTTTAAAAAATCCCCCTTTATTGCACGTCTATTTTCCTTTGATTTCTCATAGTAGGCCTTAACAGTGCTGCGTAGAAACCTCTATACAGCCTTAACTTTCTGACGGAGCAATTTCTCGTTGTCACTAAGTTTCATGTGTCTATTTAAGATAAAATAAGACTGTTTGTTCATATAATTTATTTGAACAAAAATACTGGACGAAAATTGAAACAAAATTTAAAATTGACTTATGTGTAAGACATCTTTACAGTACAGAAAGTTCAAACTTTATGCTATGTTAATCCCACAGAAGCGCATTGACCCCCATTCTTTTTTTTAAATGAAGCTAGGTGTGTAAACTCCAGAAATATACTTGTTAAAAAAAATCCTCATTATTTTTGACGATAGGATCCAGCCTCCTTAATCATCCTTATTTTCATCTTTTACAAAGAAATCTAGGGATGTTTGGGCGCTGATTTTTCAAAAGGTTAACAGAAAATATTTATAGTTATTAAAATATAAATAAAAGAATATTTAATAGGTAACTTTTAGTTAATAACATAATTTTAAGCATCCTTGCCTTTTTTACATTTTACAAACTAAAGCAAGAAACATTGATCATTCTTTGTTTATTGCCACGGAGATGAAAAGTGAATTTTGCTCAATTATCATAAACCCTGGCTAGCTATGCATTTTTATATCAATCTTTACAACCCCTTATAAAGAATTAAAGAAAACAAAAAATAAATAAGCTAAAGGAGATTACATAATAAGACTATTAAAATACTATTCTTAATTTTGCGAGCCACAGATGTTGTAAGAACGTGAAGAGTTTTTTAATGTTATTGTCAATTCAATTTAATTTTGTAGCTATCACCAGTAAGTTATAGTAAGATCGGGTATTACTTCAATCAAGAACGGGCTCCAATTGCTTAAATCGGTGG